TCCTAGAAATATACTCAGAGAAAAATGTGTCTGGACAAATAAGTTAGGCCCAGGATGGGTCCCCACCCTCCTGGGTGCCTGGATGAATTTTATAACTTGAGATTAGTCCTTCCAGGTTGGGAAATTATAGTACTCAAGGGGGAGCTAAAGGGATGCCAGAGGCTGAAGTCAGGATGACAGAGAGAGAAAGAGGACGAGAGGACTGACAAACATTAGAGGGCGTTCCCATTTAGGGCATTAAAAGAAGAACTAGTGAAGGAAACATGAGGAGGAGATAGGAGGACAGCCAACAGAAAAAGCAGTTCAAGATGGTGGTTAAGGATATCAAATGCTCCAGAGAAATTAAAGAGGATGAAGACTTGGAAAAGGTCACTGGGTTAAATTACATCATTGGTGACTCCCAGGAGGCCCATGTGAATAGAATGGAGAGCTCAGAAGCTTTGGGAGGCAGTGGCTTTAAGGAGTGAGTGGAAAAGTTATTGAGGGTAGTTAACCATGAAGTGTAGTGACATCTGGTAAGGACAGGTGTTCAAAACGGGAAGCCAGACCACAGCAGGGCTTCCTAGAAGCCTGTGCTGGCAAAAGGGACAGGTCTAGAGAATACATCCAAGTTTCAGCATATTTAGCAACTACTTTGGCTGGATAGGAGAAAGAAGAGATGATTTGCCTAGAAGTGAAGAAACAGAGAAGAGGGCAAGAGATGAGGGTAAGCAGAGAAATAAAATATAGTCACCAGCTTCAGGAAGCTAGGCAAATCCCCCTTCCCTCCCAAGAATCCTCAAAGGCTTCTTACATCAGCCAAGAGCTGCAGGAATCTGACCCACCAGGGCTGGTCAGACTTTAGCTGCACCCCCATCTAAGGCCTCCTCTGCTTCTGTGCCCCTTTTCTCAAACTCCTTCACCTCTGAGCCTCTTTGTTTGCCTAACCCCCAGGTAGGCGAGGAGTCAGAAGGCTACATGGGTCTCTGTGTTGAAAGGGAGACTCTGCCCTCTCCCTCTCCCTGAGAAGTTCGTTCCCTAGCCTCTTGGCCTCACCCAAGAGGCTTAAAGGGTGCTGTTTTCCAGAGGCATGACAGTTTGGGAAATGTAGGTAGGGGAATGAGAGGCAAAGGGAAAGAATTAGAGACAAGGGAGTTTCTAGGCTCCACTGAGGAGGTTCACTTTCCACAGTACTTTTTTTTTAAAAAACCCACTTAAATTGTAAAATTTGTGACTCAATATAGAAAAATCTTGCTTAGCTCAGATACCACTAGAGTACTCATTGGAGAATTAAATGGTCTGAAATCTTTTGCTGAATAAAATAAAAGGAAAAGAAACTTGGACAGTCCACTTCTTTCTCTGAACAGCTGAGAAAACTCAGCAAAAGACTAGCTGACTTCTCCCAGGCCCCAAGAGGTAGAGGGAGAGACAGAAGAGCATCTCCATGGCCTGTCTGTCCGCAGGCTCAGCATGAAGACGCCTCTCTGGTCCAGTGGCTTCCTTTCCCCATAGATCAGAAGGAAACTGGTGCCTCATCAAAAACCTTTACTAGCAGCTACACCATCCTGCCTCTCAGGGGACCTAAGCCAGGCTCGTCAGCCAGTCTGTCTGTGGCCACCTATTGTCTTCCTGGAAGGGTATCGGTTTCTAATCTCCCAGAGGAGCCTCTTCTTCTTAATCCAAACACTCAGGGGAATGTTAGCAGCTCAGCAAGTGAAGAGAGATGGAAACAGATAGTTTAAACCCTGATGGGAACATTCACATGGATAAATAAGAGGCCGGAGTCTCTGACTCTTGAATAGGGCCAAGGAAAAAAATAAAAATAAGGCGAAGGCAGGCAGTTTCTTTCCTTCACTTCTTTTTCACCCTCACCTCCAAATACCCTTTTGACTTTGCTCTGGTAGTGTTTTCAGGGCTTTTTCCTCTTCCTTATTTACGTCGCTTCCTTTTACATTTTATAGGTGCATGCAATATTTATGTGGCTTTGACCTTTTAAAGCAGTTTTAGAGATTGATTGTTTACATTTAGGATTTTTCTTTAAGGTCTACAAAGTCTTTTGTGCTTTTTCCAGGAAAGGCACTCAGTAAGAACCAAAACAAACAACGGAATAACTCAAATTTGATTGGAGCCAAATCTCTTAGGAGAGTAAGGAAAAAAAATTAGCATTTGTTTTTGTTGTTTCCTTTTCCCTCTTCTAACCCAGTCAAATATTTGAACCATTCCTACTTCAGTCTAGTTCAAAAGTGCTTATGAGCTGTTTAAGGTCAAATTGTAAGCCTTGGACTAGAGAAATCTTGACACTCATTTCAAGGCATGCTTCAGAAATGAGCCAGGAACTATGAAAACAATGTTTATTTCACCAAGTCTCTGAGAAAACTCATGTCAGTATATTTTACATGTGTCTCTTTGACTACAGAGGATGGGGAACCATTATTACTCTGGCCAAATTTTACATGTACCTGCAAAAGCTAGGGCTATATCACTCAGGTTTGTGAGTGTTACCAGGCCTCTGAAAGGTTTGTCAGCAGCCTGGGGATGCTGTGGCAACTGTTTGGCACAGACTGACCAGATGGGATCATATTTAGTTGTTTTCCAGACTCCCTCCCTTTTCTATGTAATTTATTCTGTGAAAAAGTTATCAAGGGGTCAGCAAGAGCCAAAGCTTTATTTTGAGTTGAAAAACCCTATATTTACATTTTATCTCCCCAATTACAAGCTCTTTGACCTTGAACAAGTCACTTAATCTGTTTGAGTCTCAGTTACTCTGGCTGTACAACAGTAATGATATCATCTGACTTGCATATTAGCTATTTGGATTCACTGAGATAATGGATATAAAAGCCTAGTATAATTCTTGGCAATTCATATTAATCAATATATATTAGCTTTCTCTATTTATGCCACAAAACTCTATAAGATGTTCGATAGAAAAACTATGTAAATTCAAAGTTTCATACCTGTTGAACATCACGTTACAAACCAGCCTGCACTAAAAATAGAATTAAGATTAAGCCTTATCTATAAAAATGATAATTTTCCTGAATGGAAATGATACTTCTATGACACAGCAGTGAGGAGCTCATCTCTCCAGTAAGATGACTACTGCCCAGTATAACTGCTGTAACCAAACTGATTTGAGCCTATATTTCCAGTAAGTGGCTTTTGCCCAGAGTAACTGCTATAATCAAACTGATTTGGGTCTCTCAGCCACCCAGGCTCCGCAATAACATAAATGACAGGACAAGACTCTCATTGAACAATGACACTGCACTAGAAGATTGAATCCCTGGGATATCTAGAAGTACCTGGAAGGCCAACCAAGTCTAACCTCCTGAATATGCAATAACATTAACCTCTTTATTTTCTTCTACTTTTATAGTAGTATTAAGTAGTAAGGATTACAAGTCACATTACATAAAATACTACAATGTTTATAAATTGGCTAGCTGGAAGCTAGGATATCAAAACAGTTGAACCCCTATTCCACCCATGCCCCAATCCACTGTATGATCTTCAGTGTGTGTGTGTGTGTGTGTGTGTGTGTTATGGCAAATATTCACACTTAGCAAGAGAACATTGGTTTTGCTTGGGGTGGAAATTCTGAAAATGAAATTTTAGCATTTAAAGAACTCTAAAATTTTACCAAGAAATATGATTTACATAATAGCAAAAATATTAAGACTCCTAAGTTTAAAAAAGAGTCTAAACAGCAAAGTAAAATAAAATGAAACAAAGACCAATAGTTCCAATTGTGTTATTCCACTTATTAGACAAAAGGATTAGCTAATTTAAATGTGAAGACTTTTTCCTCTAAAATTTATTATGGGTGTCCAACGAATAATATGGCCACTAACCCACAGAGAACATAAATATTTGTTGAATGACTAGTCCTCTGGATTTGGCACAAGAAGAAAAGACAGGCTTTGGAAGCAAGACTTCTACACGATTTAAGTGAATTCCTTTGCTGAGAGGCTTGGGAGCAAGGTCCTGGCCTTCCTGAGAGTAAGAGCCTGTCAGGTTTCAGCTCAAAATGTAGTACGGGTGCTCCATTCAAAGTGAGGGCAGTGACCCTGAGTTCCTTGTCAGGACCTCGAGCAACTTAAATGCTGAAAGATGTGAATGGAAAGCAAAAGGGGATGTGGGTTGATTTTGCACAGAGAAGGGAAGGTTTAAGTGGGCTATCATAGAACAGCTTTCAAAGATTGTTGGAAGGACAACCTTTCTCTTAAACCAAAGAGAAAGAGATTGAAGATAGGATTCGAAAGGATTTTTAAAAATTGTGTTAAAAATCCAATACATAAAGCTGACTATCTTCATTATTTTTAATTATACAATATAGTAATTTTAATTATGTGTACATTATTGTGCAATAAAAGGATTTTCTGACTGTGAAGTTGGTAAACAATGAACAATGTTGAATCACTCTCTCTGTCTACTCTGAGGAAATAGGGAATCTCCTTCTTCAAAATTTTAAAGTAGCTCACATTCTTTCTTTTTTTGTGATGCCGGGGGTGGGGGGCGGTGGGGACGGACCAGGGATTGAACTCAGGCACTGGACCACAGAGCCACATCCCCAGCCATATTTTGTATTTTATTTAGAGACAGCGTCTCACTGAGTTCCTTAGCACCTCGCTTTTTGCTGAGGCTGGCTTTGAACTCGCAATCCTCCTGTCTCAGCCTCTGGGGTTGTCAGCGTGTACCATCGCGCCCAACAGTAGCTCACATTCTGAGCCCTGAGGGCCTTACTGAGATGATTTCTTAAAAATCCCGTCTAACCCAACAGTTCCAGGGCAAGGCCAAGCTCTGGCAAGCCCAACACTGGAGTGGACACACAGAGGAAAGCCATGTTTCAGGTGCCTTGGGCAGAAGATACATGATTAGTCTTTGCATTGGCTGAAGATGAACTCTAGCACCTGAACTCTGATTCTATGTCATCTGATTTCCAAGCATAGTATGTTTATGATGGTTTGCTTGAACTTGAAGCCTGTGGAATAAGTGCAGCTCTGCACAGCTGATTTTACCTTGGGTTTATATGCATTCAGCATAGACATCTCTACATTTTGGCCTCTGACGTGTTTTGGTTGCCGCTGCACTGGTGGTGATGAGGACTTCTGGTTATTGCGGCAGACACAGATAAAGAAGAAGAGGAAAGCAATGGCCAGGGGAATGGCCACACTTGGCACCAGTATGTACAGGATTTCCATTTTATTCTTCTCCTTGGAATCCTTCGAATCTGGGTTCAGAAACAAAAAAAGAATATGAGTTATTTTGTTAAAATAACATGTATAACATTACATTGCATAGTTTAAAATGACCCTTTTCTATTCTTCTATACACACAAATCTACAGTGAGAAAAAAGAATCCATTGCTTATTAAAATTTGTTTCCATCAAACCTTCAACATAACTTATTGAAGTTTAAAAGTTTAAAGTTCAAACGTTTAAAAATTATAGAGAACATTATAAAAGATTTTGTATGGGTGTGGGTTGTCCTCTGGTGCTGCCTCTCTCTAGCAGCAGACCTGCATTTCTCTAACACCTTAAAAGTTAAACACCACATAAATGGACTATATACATGCAAGAGCCTTAATGTGGACCACAGGGGTCTTCTTCTTTTGGACGCCAGCCCAGATCAACCATCACCACCACATGGTGTTCCAGACATCAGACCCTTGTCTTGGCTGGTGTGGACTTACAGGTCCTGTCCTGTATCTGCCAGTTTCAATGTTGCTAAAGAATGCTGAGCCCAGTGTCCCAAAAGCAACTGGCAGGAGAATATGGGGCTCTGAAGTCAGGGCCCTATGGGTCTCTGATGAGCTTTGTGACCTGTTCAAATCATTTGTGTCTCTGGGTTTCACTTTTTCTCATCTGCAGAAGTGAAGTGGAATGTTCTGGATGGTGTGTACAATTCCCTCCAGCACAGAAGTACTGTATAACTTGACACTTTTTTGAAACCCCAGAATTCTTCTTAAATGGTTTCATATGAACCCAATAATTATGAGTGCTAACACTTTGAAGTATGTTTTTGAAATTTTATACATCCACTTTACCATTTGTTGGCAAAGACTATATGTACAGAAGGGTATGATGTATGCTTTTTTGAAAAATTGGTTTGGGTCTGACCATTAAAACCAAAAACTTAAGGCATATATTTTCATCAATGAATTATTTGACTGGTAAAACAAACATGGAATGGTAATTAGAGGGGTTATATAATGGCATGCTCTGATCACTAAAATCGACTATCTTTTTAAAAGAAAATCCAAATTGTGAAAATTCAGCTTGACACCAAATTCAGAGATGATTATTTATTTTACAAAAGAATTAACATGCATCCCTTCAGTGTGATCCTTCCACCCCTTCAGTAAGTCACTAAACAAAAGCTACTATATGCCCAGCGCTATTCTAGGTAGTGGGAATATAAAATTACGTAGGACGTGTCCTCTGCCCTTAAGGGGAGTCTTGTAATGAAATAGAGAAAAAGTAATCACAATGTGTTATTATACAAAAGTATGAATAGAAGGATGAAAAGACCCAAGCCTTCCTTTAAATAGAGAGCTTCCTGCTGGGCACGGTGGTGCACACCTGTAAATCCCAGCTATTCAGGAGGCTGATATAGGAGGATGGCCCATTTGAGGCAGCCTGGACAACTTAGTAAGATAGTGGCTCAAATAAATAAATAAATAAAATAAGATAAAATAAAATAAAATTTAAAAAGGCTGGGGCCAAAGCTCCATGGTAGAGGATTTACCTAGTATGTGTGAGGCCCTGGGTTCTATCCCCTAAAAGAAACAAGAGGCAGGGGCACTTCCCTGGTACATGTAAAGACAGTATACTAAAAATAATAATTTTAATCCCTTTTCATATTTCTACTGGCACAAAATCAGGTTTGTGATCATTATCACTATGGATCAGGAACATTTAAAAACGAACTCATTTTATCCGCACAGCTAACTCTAGGAGGTAGGTGACATCCTTACCCCCATTTTCATAGACAAGGAAGCTGAGGGACAGAGTGGTTAAGTAACTGGCCCAAGGACATGCAGCTGGATCTTCCCCATCAGTCTTGTTCCTAGCCTCTGTGCTGCACCAGCGCCAGCGATTGGGGATCACCTGCTATTTTGTGCCCATCTTCCCACAGTAGGGGTCCTTGGGTTCATAGAGGTGAAAAGGGTGAGGGGGATCTGACAGGTGGAAAATAACACTGGTGCTGGCTTTGAACTCCCTAGTATATCCCTGGTACCAGGTAAATGTGCAACCTCGCATCTCTGGAAGGTCCACTCTTCACTGCCAGGTGCATCTGCATGTCGGTGGATGGATGGAGAGGAATCATACCAGTTTGAGGATGTCTACAGCAAGGCCTCCTGTGAGCTCACAAGACACACAGTGGGTACACTTAGATACACTGCTGTGGATTAAGGGAAGTAGACATTTTAAAGTCAGAGACCTCACATTAGTTCCTTTGTTATTATGTAGGTGAATTTGAGTCAGCACGTAAGACACTGAGTAAACTTGTCCACAAAGTAAAAATAATAATACCCACTTTGTAGAATTGTTGTAAATAACAAACAGTGTAACACGGAATTTACCTATTCTAGTAACTATAATGACTTGATCACTCAAAGTTCACTGTTAGAGTAAAAGGGGATTCTGGGATCAATGTTTGGGACTGGGAATTTTAAATAACCCTTAGCAAGAAACAACCTCTCTGATCTCTATTTCCTTCTTTATTCAATGGGAATGAATCACCCAATCTTATTTAGTTCATGCAAGAATCAAATGAGATAATGTTCACGAAAGAACCTTGAATAATTGAAAATTGCTATGCAGTTGTTGGATGCTCTGTTATTAACATTATAGAATTTCTCAGTACCCTGGGGTGGGGGCAGATCTCTGTTATTCTTGGATTTTCAGTGAAATCATTACAAGCGTAAGGATTACAAAAGGAATGAGGCTAATTCAGTACTAATGTAATGCTAGTCATTTTTCCAGCCTGGATTTTTAGCAACAAGAGAAAGTAAGGTCTCACCTGTCTGGCAAACAAAGGAGTCTATTCTGTATTCATAACCTATCAGCTTATTCATGGAAGGCCTTTTATTGTAAATGGGCGGTCTGGGACAAATCCCCCTGTAGTTCTGCAGGAGAACAAACTTCAAGAAGCTAAATCCTTTAAATACACTCAAACTTGGCTCCTTCTGCTTACACAGAGGGTATGCAAAGGAGTACAAGGGGTGCTATGTCTTCCTGCCAAGTGAATAATCAAGCAGAACAATACGCGGTGGTGTTGGAGGTGACAGAAAACAAATGCAGGACTATTGTAAGTCTATCATACAACACGGTTCCTTCCCTACACGACTCTGCATTTGGCCAGAAGGGGGTTCCATCTCTGGCTCAAAAAACCTTTAAAAAATATTTTCCATAGCACAATTAGCCTTACTTCTGCCCAGCCCCTTTTAAATGTCCAATCATTCTTATTTCTCATTTTAACCCAGCACTTGAGTGTTATCTCCATCTTACAGAAACAGAAATTGAGGCTGAGAAAGGATAAATGACGGACCAAAGTTGGACAGTGGTGGAGCTTCTGGGTTGGAATGTTAGCAAGCCTGTCTGGCTTCAGTGCTTCTATGAATCTTAAATTACATCACTAATGAAAATTATTCCAAAATATTATATGGAATTGTTTTTGATCATTCTTAAGATTCCAAGGTTCCCTTTCAGTGAGAACTAATATCTCATGGGTAGTCATACTGTTAGGACGTTGCATTGGAACAATGGACATTATTCTCACTCAAAAGGGTAATGGAAACCTCTAATGTGTCATGCAGAAAATTGGCTGCAAATTAGAATGGTGAAGATTTTTTAATACTTTGGAATAACTGCTTAAAAGTTAAATGCACATATTAGTTACATCAAGTTAAATACTTGGGATTTTTGAAACCAATAATTTATTCCAGATCACATAATTAATTTCCGTTTAAAAATCAACAATTTGGTATCTCAATTCACATCTGACATTCCTGTTTTATTTTTACAATGACATTCAATACTTTGATTAGTAATTAAATATATTAGAGAAAATATTCTATTCTTACCCTGGGGTTTACAGCAAGGTAATCATGATTTCTTACTCAGAAGATACTTTTGTAAAGTGAAACATCATCTGGGATATTACTTTGAGTTAAAACAAGGAAATGCTCTGATTTTAAGAATGCCAAAGGTGGGAAGAAATTTGAGTGAAAGTTAGAATTCAAAGGAAATGAAACAAGTTTAAATTATGGCCTTGTTTGGAAAATTTTTAAAAACTAAAAGGAAGTAAAAAACAATCACTATTATTTATTATTTAAAAATTATAAAACAAGCAGGTCCATGGCAATAATGATATTTACATATACCCTTGGAAACCAAAAAAAAAAAAAAAGATGGTAATTAGGCCTTAACCTGGCTTGCTGGCCCTGGCATTCATTGTTTTGATTTGATGATGGAAATACTAAGTAGATCGTCTATTGCTTAATGTATTCTCAAGTAAATTCTTTAAGGAAAGAAAGAAAGAAAAGAAAAGAAAGATAGGCCATATCAGTGATTAAAATTTTCTCTATAGAAAAATGTTTAAATTATAAAAAGTTAGGGGCAAAAATTCATTTGTGAGCACTCGGGAAAATCTTAGTAACTGCCATCTATACAAGTTCACTAAAATTTTCTACACAGTCAGGGCCTCAAGTTTCCTTTCCTATAAAAGGAAAGAGTTGGGCTCGTCTTTGTTTTTTAATAATTAAAGAGAATTTCAATTGTAAAAAATACACAACATAAAATTACTGTCTTAATCACTTGTAATTACAGTTCAATATTGTTAAGTATATTCACCCTGTTGTATGACCCATCTACAGAGGTTTTCATCTTATGAAATTGAAACTCAGATCCACTGAACAATTCTTCATTTCTCTCTCCTTCAGACCTGACAACCACAATTCTACTTTCTGTTCTTATGAATTAGACTATTTTAGGTGGAATCCTTGATAAGTGGAATCATATGGTATGTCTTTCTCTGACTGCCTTATTTCATCATGTTATAGCATGTGACAGGATTTCCATATTTTTAAAAACTGCATAATATTCCATTTTATGTACATACCATGTTTTCTTTATCATTTATCCATTGATGGATATTTGGGTTGCTTTCGCCTGTAGCTCTTGTGGATAATGCTGAAATGAACATGGGTGTGCAAATAGCTCTTCA